GTCTGACCTCTGCAGGTATAGAACCTGGTTGTTTGACCTCTGCAGGTATAGAACCTGGTTGTTTGACCTCTGCAGGTATAGAACCTGGTTGTTTGACCTCTGCAGGTATAGAACCTGGTTGTTTGACCCCTGCAGGTATAGAACCTGGTTGTTTTGTTCTCACCTGCCGCCCCGCCTCACTGTTGTGGATGTAGGCACTGCTCAGCGTGAATCCTCCTCTGACGCTCGTCGTGTTTCTGACGGTCCCGTCGATGAACCTGCGGCTGAACCAGATCCCGTACTGGATGTGGTCCGAGCAGCCGCCCCAGTGCCAGCCCTCCTGCGGAGACCCACCCCCCTGTGGAGACCCGCCCCCCTGCAGAGACACGCCCCCCTGCGGAGCTCCGCCTCCTCGCAGCCGCGCGTCGCAGCCACACTCCGTCATGTTGCCCTGACTGCAGGCCCGGGTCACGGTGTGGACCAGAGCCGCTGCCAGAACCGCCTGCAGGAACGCCGTCTCTTTGGATCCTGCAGAGACACATCGTCAGATTCAGGTTCAGGTTCAGGTTCAGGAGGAAGAGGCAAAAACACTTCAATATCAAATCAAAGACTCGTCCATTCCAAGAAATCCCAAGACAAGCCCAACCAGTTCCAAGTCAAATCCTGAGTCAAACCGTCCCAGGGTCAGGACTAACAAGTCCTGTGTCAAGACCAACAAGTCCTGTGTGAAGACCAACAAGTCCTGTGTGAAGACCAACAAGTCCTGTGTCAAGACCAACAAGTCCTGTGTCAAGACCAACAAGTCCTGTGTGAAGACCAACAAGTCCAAAATCAATACCAACAAGTCCAAAATCAATACCAACAAGTCCAAAATCAATACCAACAAGTCCAAAATCAATACCGACAAGTCCAAAATCAAGAAAAACCGGTTCCAGGTAAGACCCGATAAGGTCCCAGTCAGACCAAAAAGTCAGATCCAATGAGGCACAAGTCAAGTCAAACAAGATACAAGTCAAGAACAAAAGCTCAGAGTTCAATGAGTCCTGGTTTAACTTTAACAAATTCAAAATAAATCTATATAACCGGCCCGGGTTAATATCAGGAAAAGGACACTTCAAGTCCTCTGAAGGAATACATTATCTTTCTGACATAACCAACGACAACGGCTTGATGTCCTTCCAAGAATTGAAAGACACGTATAATGTGCCTGGCTTTTCTTTCTTTTTCTAACTACGTACTGCCATGCGCATATATAGAGTTCCTTGGAATCAACCTCTGCCAACACATCAATTAGTTAAGGCCATATTAAGTCCAAACAGTGTGAGCGGCACTACTTCATATATATATATATAAAAAGCTGCAAGATAAATTAACCGGATATATTGGCATATCTGCAGTATGGAACGCAGATCTAAAACATTATAGGCAGACTATTGATTGGAAGAGAATATGGAATAATATCTCCTTAACATCGCGTAACCACAATCACCAATTGATACAGTATAAAATGATACACAGATATTACCTGTCAACCAGAAAATGCTGTCAATTAAGGATCATTCCAAGCCCCATATGCCTTCTCTGTAACCAAAAGACCATTGGCACATACTGTATGTACACATGGTTTATGAATGTACTGCAGTAAGAACGTTCTGGAAACAAGTTATTGACATTGTATCTGAGATTATTGGAGTTCCCAAATATTGTATTGTTGAATGATGATTCTTCTCTTGACCTACAGAACCATCAGAAAAGGGTGCTTTTCGCTGGTCTAACAGCAGCCAAAAAAAGAATAGTAATACGATGGAAACCCCCACATACTTTATTTACTAAGCAATGGATATCATCCTTCCATGACCTACTAATCTCAGAGCTGTCAATCGCTTCTGCTAATAAGGCAGAGGGGGAAACATTAGAAGCTGTTCAAAGAGCTGCTGATCTGGTCATATCATTCATGTAAATTATGATTGTACATATACGCACACCTTGGTGCATTTGTAGATTTATTAGGAGTCAATCTCAATTCAGTTTAAACAGATGACATTTTATGTGGAAAAAAAGGTATGAATGTATTTGATGTGGATAAATTGTTATGCTATAATATAAATAATATATATAATATAATAGATAGATGAACTCAGACGATTGCTAACAAACATCAGGTAGGATTTTCTGTGAAATGGCAAGATAGGTGGGAAGGGGAAGAGACGGGGTGGCATGGGAAAGGGATTCCCTATATCCCTTTTTCTTTTTGTTTTGTCTATATAATTTGTATCTGTAGAAGTCCCTTTTGTGAGGGCAAACAAAAACAATAAAAAGTCCTCTGAATGTCTCTTTACCTTTCTCACCAGAAGAACATGTTTAGAGATGTTTATTATTGACTGATATTTGTTTAGTTCTCTAAGCTCTGATCTACACAAACCATCTTTAATATATGTTTTAAACTCAGCAATCTCTCAGTGGAATCTGCAGTGTTTTCCTCCTCCTGTCTGCAGATCAATGAATTCTCACATGCTTCTAATGTCCTGATTCAAAACATGTGACCCAGTTAGGAGAAATATTCAGTACATCTCAACATCACATTAAAATGCCCCCCCTCCCCCCCATGAGACTCAACATCTCCCCATTCAAAAGTCCCTCTGGAAATCCTCATCATTATGTTTAAAAACTCTCGAGTGCTACAAGTAACGAGTCTAACGAGTGCTTAATTAGTTTAGTACTTTGGTAAGTACGTCAGTAGTAAGTGAGTAAACACCTAGATAACAAGACAAAGGCTCAGCTGAGTGCAGGCGCAGGGCTTTAATAAGCTGAGTCTAGTCCAGAGTCGAGAAAAACAAGTCCCAAGTCAAATCCAGTTACCCATCCAGCTCCCACTCAAGTCAACGACTTCCAAGTCAGGTCCAACAAGTTCAGAGTCAAGTCAACGAGTTCAGAGTCAAGTCAACGAGTTCAGAGTCAAGTCAACGACATCAAAGTCAGGTCCAACAAGTTCAGAGTCAAGTCAACAAGTTCAGAGCCAAGTCAACGAGCTCATGGGTCGGCAACAGGCGGCCCGCGGGCCATTGTTGGCCCGCCAGCAATA